TACTGCTCAGTCATTAAGATTCTTTTCAGTTCTAATAACTAACCTCCAAAATGTTTGCAGGCATTCCCAGTTTTGTGTCCTCTGCAGACTTGATCAGGAAACTCTCCTACAACTCCCTAATTAATACAAATGTTAAACAGCATTAGACCTAGAGGCAGAGACATAACAGGGCAGCTGGGTGTGTGGGGCAGTGGCGACACATGGGGGGAGTGGTCATTTCCATCTGGGCACCTGAGGCAAGCAGTGACACATTGGGGCAGTGGCAAATTCCAGCCGCCATTCCTGCCAGTGTGATCATGCAGCTGCCCCTCCCCCTACCCAAGCTGGTACCCAGAGCTGCACATACCTGAGGGTGAGTTCTGAAAAAAAAACCAAGAGAAGAAGTGATTGATGCTTTAACACCCAACAGAGGAGTGGTTAGGGCACCTATGTGTAAAGCAAGAGACCCAAGCTCTAGCTCCAACTCATCCAAAGGCAGTTCTGAACCTCTGTCAGGGTTTAAATGACTGGGCTCTGGCTGGTAAGGCATTACAATGACTCATCTCCCACCTGCCTTCGAACCTGAGCCACTACCTCTTGCATTTAATAGTCACTGGATAAAACAGAGGAAGACTAATGGGAAAATTTCTGCCCCATTAAAACAAGCCTCCAGGCTAGAACCAAGGGCTTCTCACTTCTAGAGTAGCAGCCATCTCAGTGAGCCATCTCATTGAGCTGCAAACCCTCTAGTTTGTTACTTTATTCCTGGCCCCACTCCCTCCTCTTACTCATTCTTTGTCCAGCAGCACGCTATGACTTACACCTAGCATACTTGTGTTCATAACATCATAGCAGTCCAGCCAATATGTAACCTACTAAGCATGTGCAGTACCTTTTGTGTCTACAGTGCAGAAGTAATAGAATTGTATACTGTTTGTAAGTGCCAAAATGCTGTTTATGCCACTAAAAATTGCCATTTCCATGCATAAAGGGTAATAGAATTTTGATCCATCTCCCTCCAGTCTTCTGGGACTTTGCCTGTCATCCATGACTTTGCAAATATTGTTGCCAGGGGCTCTGAGATTTTTTCAGCCAATTCTTTCAGCACTCTGGCATAAATTTTGTCAGGCCTCATGACTTATTTTCCTCCCAAGTTTCTTACCACCTTCATGTTTTCAAACAATTCTTCCTTATTGCTCAGAGTAAGATCTAAGGTAGATGATCCTATGGTTGTATCCTAAACTTTCTGAAACAGAAAGTTGTCTTCTATACAGGTTAAGAACTTTGCATCTTAAGTAGTATTATTCGTCCAGCAAGTATCAGGCAACTTAAATTCCCCATTAATACAACTCTATAAGTTTTGATTATTTTACTTACTAGCTTGAAGAATGCCTCCTCCACCTCTTTTTCTCATTTCATTGTTTAAAATAGACCCCTGCCACAGTATCATTATTGTTCTTCTCCATCCTTTATTTACACTCATATTCGTTGATGGTGGGATTTTTTTTCCCTTTCCTGGACCTGGAAAGAAGCACATGTAGTCTTGTCAATTAAAGCACCAACTCCCTTTTTTTTCCAAAACCTGCACTTCTGAAACCAGGCATACCTCTCAATGTTGACATTGCAATTATGGAAGTTGTCCATCAATTTTCTGTAAAAACAGTTAAGTGATACTATTCTTTACATATTAGGATGTCCAGTTCATCTTGCTTGTTCCCCATATTCTTGGTGTTTTCATATAAGGATCAAGCATGCTTTGTAGTCTATCATAGGGCCATGCAAGTCTTGCCTGCTGGCCTGCAGGGCATTGTCTCTGATCCTTGCCACCTGTTGTTTCCTCTGAAGCAGTCTGATAAGTTATTCCTACTAGCTGCTCAGTAGTTATTCCTACTAGCTGCTCATGAGTCGGCAGTGTGACGAAGCCATCAGAAAAGCCAATGGCACTTTATCGTGCATCAGCAGATGCATGACGAATAGATCCAAGGAGGTGATACTTCCCCTCTATCGGGCGCTGGTCAGACTGCAGTTGGAGTACTGCATGCAATTCTGGGCGCCGCACTTCAAGAGGGATGCGGATAACCTGGAGAGAGTCCAGAGAAGGGCCACTCGTATGGTTAAGGGCTTGCAGACCAAGCCCTACGAGGAGAGACTAGAGAACCTGGACCTTTTCAGCCTCCGCAAGAGAAGGTTGAGAGGCAACCTTGTGGCTGCCTATAAGTTCATCACGGGGGCACAGAAGGGAATTGGTGAGGTTTTATTCACCAAGGCGCCCCCGGGGGTTACAAGAAATAATGGCCACAAGCTAGCAGAGAGCAGATTTAGATTGGACATTAGGAAGAACTTCTTCACAGTTTGAGTGGCCAAGGTCTGGAATGGGCTCCCAAGGGAGGTGGTGCTCTCCCCTACCCTGGGGGTCTTCAAGAGGAGGTTAGATAAGCATCTAGCTGGGGTCATCTAGACCCAGCACTCTTT